TACAAGTTCGTTACCATCTATTTATTCTTGTTTATTTAAACATTGGTTTGTTTATTTTTGATCCTAACTAGGCATCTTTGCTGCGATCAACCTAAAATTTAGATTTTTTGAGTTATTTAAAGTTTTTTTTTACTTGTTTGAATGGAAGTGGAGAGTAGTTGTCCGAACGGGACGACGCAACTCTAAAAATTTCCGATTTCGAATTTTTAATTCAGCTTGTTTGATTAATTATTTATTTTTCTATGGCTTGCTACTATCTGTTCTTGTTATATTTTGTTAACCTGCTAATCTTATTTATTATTTATTACCTATGATTTATTCTTTATTTTTGTTTTTTATTTCAACTGCTGTTTTCTATAGATACGGTGGCGACGTCGTGGGAGCAATGATCCAGAAACCAGTACGACCTGCACCGCAATCAGTTGCACATGCCATTTTCCTTGATCAAAGTCATGATAACCCATGTCCTATTGAGGTAACCAGTTATCACTACCATTTCTCAATCATTAATCCGATCATATCTGGATTTCAGTCTCGATCGGTGTACGATTTGTTGCCTACTGCAGCTATGGTCTCAATGGCATCATGTGCTTCCGGTTCGGTTCGGGGCTACGATGAACTTGTCAGACATCAGGTCAGTAGCTATTGAGAGTTTTATTCGAAAAAGGAGCAGACTTCTGAAAAACTTCCTCGGAGTCCTCATGCTCTCTGAATTCCATGTTTTACAGTAGATACGGCTGAATTGCTCACAAAAAGTTTTTTCTTATATTTTTGATAGAGAATTTTTCTCTTCCTTCGGTTGGAAAACACTTCACCTTTAGCCCGATTGATCAGGAACTTTTCCATGATTATTCAAATTCACTGGATTTGTATCAGAGCATCTATATAAGAATGCATCGCTAAATAAATAAGTAAACAAATAAAAATAGGTGGACTTCTGGTGTAGATGTTCCGAAAGGTTAAAAAGGACAATCATCTTCTATCAATTCACAAATGAAACGACGTAACGGTGAATCCACTGAAGAATGGATGTAATAAATTTCAAAAAAAAAAGAACTAATTTGATCAAAATGCGACTCTGGATTTCCATTCACCCGAAACTTCCCACATTCAGATCCATGTTGTAAAAGAAAAACGTCCCTATGCAAAGTGGGGAAGTGAGACGACTTATAACACTGGGATAGTTGAAGCTCGACGTATTCTTAATGATCTGCATCTCACAT